CTACGAGGAGGCCACGCCCTGGAGCCGGCAGGGCCCCTCAGACGTGGACTTCGCCGTGGACGAGAACGGGCTGTGGCTCATCTACCCCGCCCTGGACGAAGAGGGCTTCAGCCAGGAGGTGATCGTGCTGAGCAAGCTCAATGCCGCAGACCTGAGCACGCGGAAGGAGACCACGTGGCGCACGGGGCTCCGCCGGAACCTGTACGGCCACTGCTTCGTCATCTGCGGGGTGCTGTACGCCGTGGACAGCCACAACCAGCGCCACGCCAACATCTCCTACGCCTTCGACACCCACACCAACACGCAGATCGTGCCGCGGCTGCTGTTCGAGAACGAGTATTCTTACACCACCCAGATCGACTACAACCCCAAGGACCGGCTGCTCTACGCCTGGGACAATGGCCACCAGGTCACCTACCGCGTCATCTTCGCCTACTGACACCCCGGCCGGAGCAGATGTGCCCGGGCCACTGCACCTTGTATGTGCATGTGCACGTGTGTGTGCGCATTGCACGTTTGTGTGTGTGCACGAGTGTATGCATGTATGTGTGAATGTGTGTGTGTACATATGTGCACGTGTGTGTGTGCAGATGGGTAAGTGCTGTTCAAAAATATATATTATTTTGTATAATGTAAAGTGACAGTTTGGGTCTATTTTTTTATATGGATTGTAGATCAATCCATACATTATGTGCTGGCCTCATCCTCCACAGTTTATATTTTTGTGCAAATGAACTTCTCCTTGGACCAGTGACCACCTTCCTTCGAGCCTCCGCCCCTCTGGCTCCCGCGTCTCAATGGCGTGGTCTCCATGTGGGTCTTGTGGCCGAGGCACCTGCAGCGGGAGCGAGGGAGGCAGGAAAGAAGTGCTAAGGGGCAGGAAAAATTATGTGCTGGAGAAGTTTTTAAAACCCAGAAAATGCTTTTTTAAATAAAGAAGGAATTTAAAATGACCCCAGTGCGTTTCTGTTCAGCGCTGATGTCTGTCCGGGGCTGGGCCCTCAGGGGGAGAGGCCTCCAGGACATGGAGCCTGTTCTTCCCGTCCGCCCCCCCCTCCCCGGGGGAGCTGGTGCTCGCTCTGAAATGCACAGCTGAGCAGTGGGGCCTGGTCCCTGCACCCCCTGAAGCTCGCCATCCACCACTCACTGCTGGTGTCCCATAGTCCCCTCCGCACCTGACACTCCGCCAGGCTTTCCTCCCTCTTCCCCTCCGAGCAAGACGCCTGCTGCCCTCAGGCATGCCCCGTCCTCCAAGTGCACAGACCGGACAGAAAGGGACTCCTGAGGCGACGGGAGGCCAGGCATCGCGCCCCCACGGCCCCACGGCCCCACGGCCCCACTCCGTGCGTCCTGCACAGACCTCAGTGGCCTCCCACGACACCCCTCCACCAACAGACCTGAGAAGGATGCCAGTTTCAAAGTTTGGTTTGAACATGACTCTGTAATGGATCCAGTTTCTCTGTTCATGCCGGTGCCGGAAGCTGAGGGCCAGGCGTGGCCGCCGTGGCAGGCACTGGTTGTCCTGCTCCTGTTGTCTCTGCCTCTCTCTGGTCCTATTCCAGACTTTTCATGTCTCTTTTTCTCTGAGTGGCCATGGGTTTTGTTTGTTTGTTGCTTGTTTTCCCAGCTCTGCAGGAATGCACTGTGTTCCTACGGAAGCTGCGTCTGGATGCACGGTCAGGCCACAGACACGCTCCCAAAAGGTTTCACAGCAATCCTACCTGTGTGTGTGTGGCGGGGGAGGGGGGGAGGATGCAGGGGGGACAGGGACAGGGAGGCTGGCGGGGCTGGGGCAGGGCAAGGCCCTGGGGGCTGTTTTCCATGTGACCTGGCTGAGCTCTGGCTGGAGGCCGTGGCTGGAGGCCGTGCCTGGCTGAGCACCTGGAAAGCCTGGCGGTGCCTGGGAGCTGATGCAGCAGCAGCCGCAGGGCCAGGGCGGGCGGAAACCTGGGGCCTTCCCAGAGGCACACAGAGCAGGGCCTGGGGGCGGCGGGTGAGGCTGGGGCTGGAGGGAGCAGGAGGTCCGCCTGCTGCCTCAGAACCAGCCCCACCCTCCAACCTCCCTTCCCCACCAGAGCACAGAGGCAGGAGGGTGGACTCCTCTGTCTCCTGGTCAGAGGTCAGAGGCCACTGGGAGGGAGTTGTAAGGATACAGGCCACGCCGCTGGGGGGGTGGGAGGGCCGCACCGTCCCCTCTGGGACCCAGACGGCATCTCCACCCCTTGGGGCACTCAAGCTGCCCGTTTCTCTCTGCCCCTCGCCCTGCATGTGCCCAGCACAGCAGCTCGGCTGTGCAAGGAGCCCCGCGCTCTCGGAGCCGAGCACCCGCAGCTCGCCCTCCTGTCTCCCACAGGCCAGCGTCTGCTGCCTCCCGTCAGGGTGCATGGAAGTGATTCCTGTGCGGGCTGAGGACCCCAGGGTGTCCTGGCCGCTCCTCCCAGGGGTGCTGCAGAAACACCACCCGCGGCTGAGGAGCCACGTGGGTTGCTCAAAGCCCATCTCAGCCAAAGTGGTACTTTGAGATGCGGAAAGTTCCTGGGCACCGGGGCCTCCCTCTGGGCCTTCCCGGCCACCCCTCCCGGAGCCCCCTTCCCTCTGGGGAGGCCTCCCTGGCCCGCCACCTCTCACCTACTTGCTCCTGTGTGCGGCCAGCCCGGGACCGCGTTCCCATAGGAAACCACGGCGGAAACGGGAGCACCCCTGCCACGGGCTAGACAGGCGGCAGCTCTGAGGTCCTGAAGGAGCCGTGGCTCCTCCGTGGGCCCCACCTCGACTCTCAGAAAGCAGCTCCGATGGGAGTGCTGACTGCAGAATTGGGGGGCTGTGCCTGACACCCCACCGTCCTGTGCCCTCTGCCAGTGGGCTCGGGCCCTGCCTGCCTGCTGCTGTGCCAGCTGGGCTGCCAGGGCCACAGCGTGTGACCCGCGGGCCTGCTGTGCAGATGGCATGTCCCCAGCACGTGGTAATGGTCACGCCCGGTCAGGAGCCCCAGGGACTCGGAGCTGGCGGGTCTCTCCGTTTTGTCTGCAAGGCTCTTCCCAGGGACTCAGCACAGGGACGCTGTCCCAGAGGGAAGCTACCAGGGCAGACCCCAGGCCAGAGCTGTCCCTCCCCTGCCCAGCCGAGAGGGACGAGCGGGACGGAAGGACCGCCCCATGCAGGAGGGCAGCCCTGCTGAGAAGCTGTCGACCTGCCAGGAGCCCCACACTGGTTCCCTCCTGCTGCCTCGGGTCACAGCGCCTCCTGCACCCCCTCCTCCACCCACTCGGACCTCCCTCTCCCCTTTGCACTTCTCTCCCAGCTTCATGTTTTTCCCACTTTTCCAGAGACCAGAGGCTTGGGAGCAAATCTCCTCTTGTTCCCGGGCTGGACACCCCGCCCCCTCCTCTTTCTCCCTTTCCCCTCCCCTTCCCTCTTCGTCCAAGAAAATGCCATTTCACAGAAAGTTCCATATTCACAGCCAGTTATTTTCAAGCATTTCCCCAGTTCTGACATCTCCGCCAGCTAGTCCAGTCCTCACGCCCCGCCCACCTCTGCCTGCCCCGCCCACCTCTGCCTGCCCCATCCCTCCTCTGCCCTGCCCCCTGGTCCAGCTCTTTGCTGCCCTGACTCTGAGGATTCACACACAGCTTTCTGGTTCCCTGCTCCGCCTCCCACCTCTAGGGCCGTGTTGCTCTGTGAACCGTGGAGCACAAGCTAGGTCTTGGCCTCAAAAGACTTAGCTCCTCGTTGTGGACCTTCCCTGCAGGCAGCAATCACCTGGGGAGGTGTTGGCAGTCCCAGGGCCAGGTCACATAGACCCAGGAATCGGAATGTGGGGGTGGGAGCCAGGCAGCAGCATTTTTAAAGAGCCCCCTCCCCCCATGACTCCAGCAGCAGCGTTTGGGACCCACGGACACAGTGCTGCATGGAAGGAGTCAGACTGACCGGTCTTCAGAGCCTCGTCCTCAGCCCGGCCAGGAGCCTTCTCTGGGTGCCTGCCAAGGGCACTGGGCTCTCGGGGCCTCTTGGGGCAGACCTGCTCCAGGGAGGACTGACAGGGCCCAGGATACCCACCACCACAGCAGGCCCGGTGCTGGTGCCGGGCAGAGACACTGCCTCCCCTCCTCCCTGGACACAGCCCAGCTGTGAGGGCTCACCTCTGATTCCTGCCCTCAGCTGGGTGTGCAGCCCCCTGAGCAGCAGGAGGCAGTTGATTCTCAAGATGGACCCTGTGGGCCTTCAGAAAGAGTGACAGGCAATTCTGGTCACCCTCAAGCCCAAGCCGGTGCCAGCAGCCACCACCAGGCCCGCCTCCGGTCTGACACTGTCCCTCAGCCTCCTCTCTGACAGGTGCTTCTCACACTCAGATCCCATCCGATGGCTGGGCCCACCTCAGGCTGACTCCAGAGGCCTGAGTCGGGCCAGAGAACTCGCGGTAGTAAGTTACAGGTGCCGCCGCTGCCGCCGCTGCTGCTGCAGATCCGCTGGCCCGGGCCTCCTCCCAGGCCCACGGCCACTGCTCAAGGCGGAGGGCTCAGAGATGGGACCAGGGAACAGGCGGGGAAGGCCGCGCCCGCCTCCCGAGTCCCCACAGTCCTGCCTCCGCACTGGGCAGCGTGTCCGTGGGCGGGTGCATGTGGTGACAGGGCTGCCACACCAGGAAGACGCCGGGAAAAACGACATCTGTCTGTGGCTTCCTACACGCTCAGTAATTCAACTCAACAAGAAGTATCGAGTTAGCCTAGGATGCCCGAGCCATGCCAGCTCCGGGGCAGAGCCTTGGAGGGTCCCGTCCGCAGGGTGAGACACTGCGCTTGCTGCGGGAGGGTTTGGAAAGGAGGGCTGGGTTCTGCTCTGGGAGCAAAAAAATCCAACTTCCTGCGGGGTTTTCCCTCCGGCCCCTGCACACCTGCTTGTGCCAGATGGTGAATCTTGGGAAGGTGGGATGAGCCCCGTGTGCTGCCAGCTGTGGTCGCCCGAGGCGACCCTTGGGGCCGGTGGAGGCCGGAGGTCCAGCTTTCCGCCTCCTTCCTGCTCACGCTGCGGGAGAATTCGCGGCCCTGCGGAGCACAGCGTGAAAACAGCAGCAGGAGGGCCTGGGACGAGGCTCCCTCAAGGCTGCCTGCGGCCGAGGGCAGTGTGTTGTCTGATGGGAACAGTAGAGCAGGAGAGAATTCCAGCGTCGCTGGGAAACCAGAGATGAGGGGATGAAATTCGCCATCTGTGTCCTGGAACCAGCAGCCAGCGTGTGGGCGAGCTCCATGGCCACCCAGAGCTCCCGAGAGCAGCTGCGTGGGGCAGCACCCGTCTCTCGGGCTAGGAGCCCACCCTGGAGTTGACCTTCACTGTCCTGTGGGAACAAGGGCCCATGGAAGAGACATCATTCACGTGTCTTTGAGGACAAGGGTGTGGTCCGGTCCACCGGCCCAGCTTCCCTCAGGTCCATGGTAGACGTGCAAGGCTAGTGCACACGTAGCATCGGTGGCAAAGGTTCCAGCTCTGGGGCCACGGCCTGAGCCCCGTCTGCGCAGCCAGCCTGCTGCTCTGGGTTAATCCCAAGTCCCCCGCAGGCCTC